GGGGATTCCACCCATCTGATTTGCGTAGATCTTGCCAGAGTTCGGGATCTCAGAGCAATATTTAATCGCTCGCGACCCCGCCAAGAGCTGCGCGGGGCGGCGTTTGTAATTAATAACTTCAAACTTGTGTTGTTTTCAGTGATAACAAGGTGTGATGATTAAATCATCCTGCCAGGCCCTGTGTGCCCCTGTGTGTAGCATGATGTAGGGACAGTGGTAGCAGTTTAGAACAGGGTATGGCCTCTCCCCCCCCCCCCCCCCGCCATCCCTACAGCTATATTTTGCGAAAAATCGAGCAGCCAAACGGTGTTAAGTGGCGGACACGATTCAAAATACCCCCCCCCCCCTCACACACCACACTTTGGAAACCCTTTCGCCCTGTGTTTTCCACTCAGAGTCAGTTTATCGTGCGATGTTTATAAGATAAGATAAAGTAACGAGCTTTTTGCGAGATGCTTGCTTGCGTGACCCAAAGACCCTTTGCGGGCGTAGTCACGGCCACGTACTGAGTCAAAACTGGATTCCCTACCCGGTGATACTGTCGTAGTCTTTAAAAAGACACGGGTTGTGATGAGTCTCGTGGTTATCTCCGCTTGCTGAAGTCTGCTTTGGTAAAGCTGCAGTGATTCAACCGCGTTCGAACCTGAAACGCGTTTCGGGAGAATTGCAGACTTCTAAGCAATACTCGTGCATCGGTTTGAACGCTATGAATGATTGCAATACGAGGCCTCTACTTGCCAATAAGCAAGTGAAGTGAACTTATCCAACTTTGTGTGTGATGCTCGCTGTTTTTGCATGCATTGCTTCTGTGTGCCCCGACATAGTCGGTTGTCACTTGTATGAAAACCATTTCCATGGCTCGCCCCGGCCTCTAACTGCGAAGCACCTTTTGATGGACATTTTCTAGCTTTTTACGTAGTGAGCACCGCTGTGGCTGTGTGTTGATAATAAATGCGTCAGTCACGGCATCTTGTGGTGTCTTTTGATGGGCATTTGCAAGCTTTGTGCTTACTGAACACTGCCTTTGGCTGTGTGTTGATAATACACGTGTCACTCAAGGCATCTCTTGGTCTAGGGTGGCGCGCCGCGTGCAGCGCTTTACAAGAGACCTCGCGAGTTCCTGACGGCAGAATGCTCCGCTGCGTTACCCTCCCCTTTCCATTCACAGGCAGACTGCGCAAAACGCCATACCAACGACACCACAGCACACCCACTTTCAGTCCGCACCAGTCCCTTCTAATCAAGTACTGCTAAGGTTCCGCCCGCTCGCGCCACGTGTGTTCTTCCGATTGCCGTCCCAAATCTGTAAAAGACTGTCAA